AAATAGGTTTATTATTTTTTTTAATAGAAAATGACGTTCCGAACGTCGTAGGCATTTAAAAACCTAAAAAATTTTTTGATCCTTCAGATTCGGATTCGGATTTGTCGGATACGAATACGGATACGGATTCGGATACGGATATGGATTCAGATACGGATACGGATTCAGATTCGGATTCAGATTCGGATTTTTGGATACGAATACGGATTCGGATTCGGATTCGGATTTGTCGGATTTGGATCGAATCGGATTCAGATTTGTCGGATTTGGATCGAATTGAATTCGGATTTTTCGGATTCAAATCAAATCGGATTTTGCCCAAATCCGATCCGATCCGATCCGTGCGGAACACTACTTAAAAATGATAAAAAAACATAATTTTTTCAGAATGATGATATATCGTTCCTTAAGAATGATGTAAAAAATCGTTCTTTTCAAAATGATGATGAATCGTTCCTTAAGAATGATAAAAAAAATATCGTTCTTTCAGAACGATGATGTATCGTTCCTTAAGAACAATGTAAAAAATCATTATTTTCAGAACGATGATTAATCGTTCTGAAAAAATGATAAAAAAATCATCGTTCTTCGGAATTATTCCAAAAAAACGATAAAAAAAATATTGTTTTTTTCAGAATGATGATGAATCGTTCATTAAGAATGATAAAAAAATCATCATTCTTTCAGAACAATGATATATTGTTCCTTAAGAACGATGTAAAAAATTGTTCTTCAGAATCGTTTCTTAAGAACAATGTCAAAAATCAATTTTCAGAATCGTTTAGAAAGAACGATAAAAAAAACATCATTCTTTTCAGAACGATGATGTATCATTCCAAAAGAACGATATCAAAAATCGTTCTTCAGAACTATGATGAATCGTTCCTTTGGTAACAATTTCTATCGTCTCTTTAGAATGATATTTCGTTCCTTTTGAGATGATTACTATCGTCTCTTTAGAATGATATTTTGTTCCTTTTGAGATGATTTCTATAGTCTCTTTTGAAATGATTGAATCGTTCCTTTTGAGACGATTTCTATCTTTTCTTTGGAATGATATTTCATTCCTTTTGAGATGATTTCTATTATCTCTTTTGGAACGAATATATCGTTCCTTTTGAGATGATTTCTATAGTCTCTCTTGGGGATGATATTTCGTTCCTTTTGAGACGATATTTTGTTCCTTTAGGAATGATTTCTATCATCTCTTTTAGGAACGAATGTATCGTTCCTTTTGAGATGATTTCTATCATCTCTTTTGGGTGATATTTCGTTCTTTTAGAGATGATTTCTATCATCTCTTTTGGGGATGAATGTATCATTCCTTTTTAGATGATTTCTATCGTCACTTTGGAACGATTACTCTCAGAATGTTTTTATAATTTTCGCAAAAATCAGCTTAACAGATTTCGACCAGTGAGATATTATGATTTGTTGCCAAATCTCGAGTCTAACTGAAATTTTGTTAAATATTATAACCGAAAGGTCTTAATGCCAAAATAATGCTAAATTATGTGTGATGTAACAAATTACTATCAATTTTTGTAACTTTAGCCAAATATTTGCTAAATTATATAATCGAATCGGCTGAATGTTTACCAAAAGATATTAGTGCCGAAAGAAATGATTTTAACTAGTGAAATATATCGATTGATTATTTAAATTATGTTTACTGAAAGATATTAGTGCTGAAAGAAATGATTTCAACTAGTGAAATATATTGATTGATTATTTAAATTATTTTATTTTTAATAAAGAAAATTAAACATATCTTATAGTACATTTCAACATTATACTTTTGATACAGATCTTTTACCAGAACCATTATTGAATTATCAAATAAATTCAGATGCTATATTAAATGATTTGCAATATCAATTATAATCTCATCAAATTAAGTTTCCTTTTACTCCTCTCACTTCTATTTTACCTTTCTTTGCATTAAATTCTTTGTATTTACCATGGACACCATGCTCAAAATTTTTTAAATTAATAAATAATTTTAATTCAAATATTTTAAACCAATTTATTTGCATCTCATGCGTATTCTGTGGTCGTCTTATGTATCCCAAATATGCGAATGGTTGTCTTATGATCCAAATTTTTTATATCCACTTTTACAAGCTTACTCTGAATCAAATCCTGAATCACTATTGATCTTTCATGTTAATCTTCCAAAACATATTGCAATATGTTTATCTTGTAAAAAACCTACAAGTAGATATAACTTTTCTTTTCTTCATCCTATTCCAAATGAAATTCAAGCTGTACCTTGAATAATCGAATATTTTTATCTCCTGTATTCATGCATTATTCTTTAGGAAGAAATTCAGGACATAGCGCAATATATACAGAATATAAATCTCTAACTGGAACAATGAATTTTTCAAAAAACATGCGTTCTTTGATATTATATTCTGAAATGATTGGTGCCTGCCTATCTTGAAGATAATTCAAATAATTCTAATACTTGGCTTAATAATACTTTAATTCATGCCGCAAATTGGTTAAAATAAAATAATCCATTTTTAAAAAATTACTCTCGCCTTTTAAATTCACCTAATTCTTAAATTGCCAATCCTTTCCCAAGAGCTTTTCATCTATCTTTTTATCTAATGATATTGTAGTCCTAAATATTAATTTTAATACTGAAATTCACAATGAAGATTATCATTATTTACATCTAATGGCAGGATTTGTCAGAACTCCAAACAATACTTTGCTACCAATATCTGTAAATGATCTAAATTTAGAAGCTTTATTATTTTCTGATTTATTTCCAGATGGAAAAGACATTATTATCATGATATCATTTCTAGATCAACTTCCGCCTACAAAGAAACCTATTCTAAATATATTAAACAAAGAACACTCAATATCGATTCACGTTTTAAGCTCCATCATAAATGGTTGGCGTGATCATATTTACAATTAGAAAAGTTACGCAACCACTAAAATAATCAATGTATATGAAGACAACAACAAGCTGACAAAACATATCATCCACCAACTGCTGCACAGCTTATTCGAATCTCTAATTATTCTAATAAGCTAATAATAGACGAATTATTAATAACCACCTTACCAACTTTCATTCGAAATGATGAATCTTATTTTCATGAAAAACAGCATCATGTCAATATAATAATTTCATCATATGGATTACCTTAAATTTTTCTTACACTGATGATGGCCGAAAGTCATTGGAAATACTTACCTAAAATTTTAAAATCAACAGATAATCACCATACAATTCCTACAAACAGACCAGCACATACTACATTACATTTTATACATCACTTTCAGCAACTCAAAAAGCATGTTTTAAAAATTCCTATCATTCAAATTGGGGCAACATAACTCAATTTTTTGAAAGAGTAGAATTTCAAAATCGTGATGCTGCGCATACACATAGCATATATTGGGTAACAAAATCAATTGAATAAATAATTGATAAAAATATCATAAGATCTGACTTACCGGATCAAAATTTAGAACCAGAATTATATGCAAAAGTAAAAGCAAATCAAATACACACTTGTGATTCAAAATGTGGAGGTCCCGCTACTTTAGGACATACTTGCAAAAATGGATTTCCCCGTCCTTTTTTATCATGTACTCATTTTAATAATGAAACTCAAACTTACATTTATAAATGTCTTAAACCAGAAGATCAATGGGTTGTTACTTATCATCCTTAAATTTTATTGATTTGGAATGCACATATGAATATTCAATATGTAAGCTTTCGAAAATTAGCTTTTTATTTGACAAAATATATAGTAAAATCAGAATTATCTCACGTTTTCAATATTAAAGAAGGTGATAAATTATGAGAACATGTTGTAGCCCGAAGATTAGGTTCTATGGAATTAATATTTTTGATATTAGGTGAAACTATTTGTAATTCTTCTTCCTTCATTATGTATCTTACCACTGATCCTCCGTCAACTAGACCTAAAGCAATACACCCTATTTACCTAATCAATGAAACCAAAGATAATCCATATTATACAAATCATATTAAAAAATATTTCGACTGGCTATGTGAAAAAGAATTTAATAACTTAACATATCCACAATATTTTTAAAATTATGAAATATTCATTTTTAGACTCACAACATGATCTTCTATTCATATTGACAGATTGGGCAATTATATAATTAAAAGAACTACTTCAAAATTAGTTCGATTTCGACATCTAAGATTACAAGATGGCCAATTATATTTTTATCAAAAACTGTTGCTAGAAACT